TTGCCGAGATAATCCATCCACCTCACAGGTGTGGCATATCAAGATGCTGATTAGACAGCATAATTATTGCAATTGTGTGCCTTAGGCTGGCCACAATAAAAGGCCACTCTAAAATGTCTTAGATCTTTGAGTTCAGCTCATGAGAAATGTGGGCAAAAGTGTTGCGTTTATAATTTTGTTCAGTGTATCTACAGTGTTAAGGTTCTCAAGTCCTGTCTGCGAGATGTGATTTGTCTGGAATCTTATGGTAGATTGCAGATGCTGGTGTCAATCCCTGAGATATACCAGGATCTACAGGGAACTAGATGGTATTCTTTTGACACCGTTGTGAGTCTGGTGGGAAGCGTCGTACTTTCAATGTAGTATCAGTCAGAGATATGTGGGAAAGGTGGAGTGAGCTAGAGCTGCAGAGGTTGGTTCGTGGTTATTTTAGAGAGTGAGTTATGTTATGGCTATTGAGTGTGTTGTGTGGGTTTGGGCATGCATGACTTAATCCATTGTACACAGTGAGATGTTAGTGAAGGTAAGATAGGTCATGGTCGTGGTGGTTCGCATGTCGTACACCCCGAAATACGGATGGGGGAGGTATAGGGATTTCTATATATATATTTTTTTCCTATTATTATCAACTTGTCAAAAGTCCATTGGGGAACCTGTGTGTGTGATCACTCCAGTCTGGCTATATTTCTGTAGTGTATAAGTCAGCTATTAACATGTGCCACATGAGACTGCCCCGTGCCCAATGTCTATGGATGCGAGGGAGTTACACAGCCTAGAGTGAATACAAGTGGCAGCACGTAAACCGTGCAACTCCTGCATCACAACGAGCATGCATCAAACATTATCCAGAGGCATACAACCTCTTTTGTTTCATCACAATCGTCAATCGTCAGTGTGTGTAGGCCCACTGTTCCCTACAAAGGAATGGTCCTTATTGTGTAGATTAAGGGGGTAAATTGAGTTGAGCTAGGCAGAAGAGCCAGGAACATGAGCCTGAGGGAGTCCCTGGATAAAAAGTATTTTCTTGATTTACACTGTGTTAAGTCCATGCTTGGCCATCGATTACAGGTCGAGGGAGTCCAGCAAGTGCAGGTGAAGAGAAGTAACTGTCCGTGGGTAATATGAAGCCTGACCCTTGGGAGAGGGAGCGGGAGGTAAGATAGTCCATCCGTTAATCCAAGGTGTTTCTACGCCACAGGTTTAGGCTGGAGCTTCACTGGCCTGGTGTCTTTCGGTGCGGTCCATTGCGTCTGCTGCATCTGTTCTTCTCTTTTTCATGGGGGGTTCGCCATCTTTGTCTTTTGTGGCTGCTGATTGTTGAGATGAGAGGGGTCCGGTGAGTACCAGTTCATGACGTGTGTATCAGGTAATTCCAGGGCTCTGGTGAATGGCACTACATCCTGATATGTTGCTATCGAGTCGTGCCTTTGTGGGACATGATAAGAGCGAAGGAAAAGCACCAGCGATATTTGAGGTTACTTGCCCGAAGCTTATCTGTTATGGACTCTAGGGCTCTCCTGGCCTGGATGGTGAGCCAGGATAGGTCTGGGTAAATTTGTATCTCGTGCCCATGGAACAATAGTGGTGGGTTTGTGTCCCACAGCTCCTTCAGAACCGCTTCTTTGGCTGAGTAGTAGCGGAGGAGGCAGAGTATGTCTCGGGGTGTCTCCTCCATAGTGAACCTGGGTTGTAAGGAGCCTTGCACACTGTTAAATAGTACTTGCGCGTCTGATTCCTGGCCTAGTATGAGGTTTAGGAGCTTCAATAGGATTTTGGTAAGTCCTCGTTTGGGGCCTCTGGCAGGCCCCTGATCCGGAGATTATTTCTGCATCCTCGGTTGTCGACGAAGTCCAGTGGTCGATGCAATTGAACCAGGTAAGTTGTGTAGGATTCGACTTTTGAGGTGAGTTAGTGCATTTGGGCCTCAAGCGTCCCCCTGTCGTCCTTCAAGTCTTGGATTTGTTGGCCTACCTGGCAAATGTCAGAGCCTAGGCTGTCCAGCTTTTGTTAGAATGAAGCTTTTAATTTTCCCAGCATTGTTGACAGGTCTTTATGGGAAGGCAGACTTCAGAGACTATCTTTGAATCAGACTGTGCGGCTACCGGAACCCTGTTGGATTCCGCGTGTTCCAACATGCGGTCAGCATAATCTTTAAATAGTTTGGTAAGATAGCTTGCTTATCCAGCGGGGGTCTTCCCAGATCCTTCGTGGGAGCTTTGGGATCTTTATGGTTCCCGGCAGTCGGCAACGCTCCCCCCGAGCGATACAATTTATTTGTAGTGCTTTTTCTTTGGACGACCACCTCCTGCCTGTGGAGATAAGGCCACAGCCAACTGAACTTGCACCTAACTTGATGACAAAGTCATGGGCATTACCAGCTCTGCCGTTCCCTGCATTGATATGCAAGAGTCACCATGAGAGTTTTTCCACAGCTTTGCGGTGTGACGGAATGAAGTGGTTGTACGGGAGCCCCTATTGCAGAGAGAATTTCTTTAAGCGTTGAATAACTTGATAGTGTAACGTGCCGAGAAATATGGCTAGAATCGAGGCGCTTTCCCAGATGATGAATCTTGATCATTGGTAGAGCCAGTTACCCACTTGATTTCTTTCTTCAATGAACTTCACCTTGGAAAAAGGTAGAAGTAGGGTGCCAGTAGGGTGCCATGAACAGAGCCTATTGTAAACCCCGAAATTCCATGAGTTGAGACCGAATGAGAATGGGCTTTTCCCAGTTGAGGAGAAATCATAATTCTTGTAACAATATCATTCTCCACGACAGCTGCAGTTTGAGACATAATGAGATAAACACTTTTTCTGCAAAGAGAGTCCACTACCGATGTTAAAAACTTTGTGAAACTAGTGATAGGCCAAACGATAGACATGTGAACCGCCATTTCATCTGGCACCAAATGAATTTTAGGTAGTCTTGATGGGCTTCTGGGAACCGTGAGGATGGCATCTTTGAGGTCGAGCTTTACCATTCCGTCTCCTATGAGTAACAAATCCCATAGGCAATGTATGCCCTCCATTTGAATTGTTGGTATACAAAAAAAAGTGTACAGAAGCCGATGGTTAATCACTGGGATGACCATGTCTCATTTCTTGGGTACAAGGAAAAGGTTGCTGAGAAAACCTGGAGATTGGGAGGAAAAGGGTAAAATATCCTCTCTGTCAGCTAAAGCCCAACCTCCTGAGTCACTAGAAGTTCCTCGTGTTTGAAGAAAGAAATTGTGAGGGCGTAGCTGATTGAATCAGAGATGTTAGGCAGACAAGAGTAGGATGGGAAATGAGAAAAAAATATACCACACAAACAGTGTGCAGGGGGAGTGTTAAAACTCAACACTAGTCCACTGAATTAATGTTAGGCTGGGTAGGGTAAAATAGGTAGGGTAAAATAAAATGCTCAGCATCTAATCCAGAGCAAGGGGAAAAAAACAAAAAGACAGGAGGACACAGCCGAGGTGGTGAGTGTTAAATCCAGCACCCAAATCCAGCCTGGAGAGGGAAGTAGAAGGAATAACTAGGCAGACAAATAAAGGTGCCAATAAAGGTACCAATAATAAATGTACTAATCTAAGATGACTGGTAAAGCAAGAGAAATCCGCTAGGCAAATATTACAGTGCAGGTCTAAGCCGACCTGGTATACTTAGCTGAGGGAGCAGCAGCAAAGGAAGAGGAAGAGCTTTGGGTTACATGCACCAAGAATCTTTACTGAAATTCCAACCAAGTCAAAAGATATACTAAGACAAAGTAGACATACACATGATATCTTTACCTGCTCCCCTGGCCATCGGACACCCAGTGCTGATGTCAACATCGGGGGTCTTTGTGGATTCTGCAAAATTCCTACTGCCGCTTTAAGCATAATATGAGCTTTAGTGTTTTCATAAAATCAGGGTTATTCCATCAAATATTGATTTCTGAACTCTTCCCAAGTTAAAACATTAGTATTGTGTTGTTTAAAAATTAATATGAACATGTTTTCTTTGTATTACTCCAGGTCTTAAAACACTGTATCGTTTTTGTTATTTTGACCAGTTATTTTCTACAAATAAATGCAATACAATACCTTTTTTTTTTTTTTTTTGGGAGAAATATTGACAGTAGTTTATAGAATAAAAAAAATATGTTAATTTTTACTAAAAAAACATACTTATGAATAGTAAAACCAGATAAAGTGACAATTTTGCAGTATTAAGCACAATGACCACTGCAGTGATTAAAAGTGATCGTGGTCCGTAGAATCTGTATGAGTAGTGTTTGTATTTTGGAATATATACTTACATAGTCTGTATATTGGAATGTATTAACGTTAGTTACGTTGGTATTTCTTTAAGAAAGCATTTACTAAACTAAATAGTAAGCTGTGGATAATTGGTGACAGGCACAATTAGCAGAATTGATGAGGTAAATAAACATATCTATGTGACCCGAGAAATAATATTTTAAATTGAATTCTGCAAGTCAGTTTTCATCTCCCCACAACTCTAAAAAAACAACAACAACAAAAACACTGCTATATAAGATTACAAAAAAAAACAAAAAACAAACAATAAATAAGCACCACTCAATATATATTAGAAAGAAAAACATGGAAAACTACTGACATACAATTTTAAAAAATGAAAATGTTCCTTCATACCATCCCTAAATTACTGATTATACCTGCTTTTCTATTATAAAAAAAACAAATCCTTTTAAGTAAATTCAGTTTATTTTCTCATGCACTGAGATAGCTTATTCTCCCATAAAAAAAATAAATCTGTATCTTGTCAGTATATTAACTGCATTAATTATCCAATCATTTAAATCTAGTAAATAATGTAGGGAATAGGTTTGTCATATGAAACACTAGCTTGGATGCACATCATTGCACTATGCCAGGAACCAAGATGGCGGCGGGAGCACAGCGCGCAGCTTGGGTGCAGCAATATGACTGAAACCCAGGAAGTGTACTGTGCAGCATGCTTTACTCTGCTGCCTCAGTCACCTTGTGATAATGGAAGATCAGGAGATTGAAGCTCCTTACGAGGACCCCGGGGCTGCTCCATATGGGAACTTCCCTAATTATTATAGTTTTAATCCGCCGGAGAACCGTGTTAGCCTCCTACCTCCAGGGAAGCTTCGGAGCCTGCTCCACAGATCATGTGAAGCCCCAATCATGTGTCTGGACGTTGGATGTAACTCAGGAGTGAGTGGTTTAATTATGTTTTAATTGAGCTTCGTTGCTTTATTGTAACTCCCATCACTGTCCCATTTGTTGGGAGGTATAGTCCATGTAAAATATGATTGGTAGTGTGTGTGTTATATAATTTCTGCAAAAAAATAAATAAAATAGGATTAGTTAATTATAGAGGTATACTGGGACATACATGGTTTATTTATTTCCAAGTATAACCTGGAGTATCAGTGATGGTAATGCTGGGGCCATCATCCTGGTGTACTTGCATAACTGGCTGACATTTAGCTTTGCTGGACAGTCCAATCCACTCTTGATAAAGTACATAGTTCGGTTTTGAAGTGGTGCTGTCACCTTCTGGGGTCCTTGCATAATTTGCAAATACCCCCTAAAGCGATATCCCTTCTCTGGGTGCGGAGGGGAGGGGTAGTTACACTTAACGTAAATCTTTCCTGTACAGGTGCTCTCATTTTCTGTCTTAAGCTCCTGACAACTAACCCACCATGAGCAGCGCCAGTGCTGTACTCTCTCACTAATGTCATAAACATTGATGTTTATGGAGGATTTCGCTAGACTGCGGTTCATGGTGCTTGGAGTAACCGCTTAATTTTGCGACTTGATTTTAAAGGACCACTATAGTGCCTGGAAAACATACTCGTTTTCCTGGCACTATAGTGCCCTGTGGGTGCCCCCACCCTCAGGGACCCCCTCCCGCCCGGCTCTGGAAAGGGGTTAAAACGTACCTTTTTCCAGCGCTGGGCAGAGAGCTCTCCTCCCCGTCGGCTGAATGCGCACGCGCGGCAACAGCTGCGCGCGCATTCAGCCGGTTACATAGGAAAGCTTTCATAATGCTTTCCTATGGACGCTGGCGTGCTCTCACTGTGAAAATCACAGTGAGAAGCACGCAAGCGCCTCTATTGGCTGTCAATGAGACAGCCACTAGAGGAAATAGGGGAAGGCTTAACCCATTCATAAACATAGCAGTTTCTCTGAAACTGCTATGTTTATGAAAAAATGGGTTAACCCTAGCTGGACCTGGCACCCAGACCACTTCATTAAGCTGAAGTGGTCTGGGTGCCTAGAGTGGTCCTTTAAATTCTCAGCAATTTGATAGGGTCTTTGGGGTTTCATGGCTCAAGATCTGCAATGCCAGGCCTTTGTATTAAAAGTTGTAGTGATTATGGTGCCTGAAGTGCCCTATCGCCCTTCCAGAATCAGTTTTCGAACGGTTTTAGAAAGGTTTCACAGCTTACCTGGGTTCTGCTGGAAGCATATGGCCATGGCCCTGATTCAGGATTCTTCTTTCAGGAGAATCCAGTTAGCTAAGCAGGGCCACTGTTTTTGGCTGAGTGTCATCTGAGAACTCCCAGCCAATGACCGGGGTTCTGTGTTTCCCCTGCTTAGTTTAGGGAAGACTTGTGGCAGGAGAAGCTGAGGCTTATGTTATAGAAATATATGTCAAATTAATCTTGAGAGGTGACCAGGGCACTCTTCGTGCCATAACAACTATAGCGGGCTGTAGAGGTTATTGTGCTTTGAGTGTTCCTTTAATGGAACACTATTTAAAGGGACACTATAGGCACCCATACCATTTCATATCATTGAAGTAGTCTGCGTGCAGTGTCTCTGTCCCCCTTAGTCCTGCAATGCTTTTTGAGAAACTGCGCCGCTTCCCATCTTTCTGCATGCCCCAGGAGAGATGGCAGCTTCTGCTAGGAGCTTCCACAAGTTATCCCTAGCAAGGTCTTACCTTGGGCTTACTGCATTGCAGAGAGAATCTGGCTGCAGAGGACACAAGGAGCAATGACCAGTAGACCCCAAGAAATAAGCCAAACCATTTTAAAATTGCTGGCACCATAACCACAACACAATTATCTTACCCTTTTAAAGTTTTTCTTCAAAACCCCCTAAATTGATGGAGATATCATTTTTTTTTTTTTTTCCTCCGAAGTGCTGGTATTATGTAGAAGTCAGACAGCCAGGGGTGTTCTCTTTCTGATTGTCTAAATGTGCCTCCAGCACAAAGTGGTATGTAATGCTTCTTATTTTATTAGATTGCAAACAAAGGAGGGATCTGCACTTTTATCACTTGTAGACCTCAGTGCACTGTACCTAGGGCTGGCAAACCCCAATTCCATATAGTGAAGACAATGTAATCCAGGCACTCAGGGTCTTTTTCAAACAGCAGTTTTATTGGAGAAACACGGCAAACACAGCAATGTTTCGACCCACGATCGGATCTTTAAGCTCACTCGCTTGACAAAGATCCGATTTGTGTATCGAAACTTTGCTGTGCTTCTCCAATAAAACGTCCGTTTGAAAAAGACCCTGAGTGCCTGTATTACATTGTCCTCTCATTCTATTAGAAGCATTTTTTGAGGTTTTCAGTATATGTGATCTCAGTGACGCTGATCCTGTGCCGTGGGTCCATCTCGCCTCTGGATTTGAAGTAAATTTAAAAAAACAGTCCAAGCACCATCACCATACATTGTTGGACTACTTACACTGAGAGTAGCACCAGAGCACCCCTAACTTTCTCACCACTACAGTGGTTCCAACCTCAATAAAACTTGTGAATGAAAGAAAAAATCCTGGTAAGTGACTTTAATATTTAATGGTTGAAGTTATTATTTTGCTAAATAAATTACATAGGAATTACAAATTCAAAGCAAAAAAGTTGGAGTGTATGTTTTAAATTCTGCATTTTTGGTTCAGAATTTGCATTTAATTTTTTTTTTTTTGTAATTATTGATTTTATTTATTCAATATCTGCTCACCATGATTCCAAGTTTGTTAATAAACCCTTCATCCGTCAAATTTTAGCCTTCTATTACCCACAGTTACGAATTTTGTAAGGATATATGTGGTGTGCTGCCACATTGCCAAGTTAAAATTCTAAATATACAAGAGTGTGAGAGCTCCTAAAAAGGTACCATAGTTAGAGTAGATACAATAATGTATAATATATGTATAACACAAACACATAATTAAGACTAGTGAGGTGTACCTCCTTTTGGGAAGAATGTGTGTCCAATAAGGTGCTAAAATCGAGAATAAATTAATTACAGCAGCGCGAAACACTTGTGTGGAAATACCCTCTTATTCACACCTAAAAAAGTCCAATATCTATAAGGTGGTATAAGTGAAAAACCTACACCTATAAGTGAAGTGCTTAAAAAGTGGAGGGGTACAGTTACCCCATACAACTTGATAGCAAGCTTGGTGTATAATACATGTGAAAAGGCAATATAGTGCAGATGGTACATCAAAATAAAATTGGATACAATGGTGGTGAAGTGGAACACTCACATTTAAAGGAGTATGTGAACACTGGCTCCGTAATCAGGCTTGTATGCTTTTAAGGCAGCCTCACACCTACAATCCACGATATGATGTATCTCAAAGAGAAAACATGGAGAGAAGGGAACCAATGTGCAGTCTGTCTCAAATGGTATGGAGGTGAGAATAAGTAAAGTGCTCACCTTATTCAGAGCCCTGTATCCTGGCTCTGAGGAGTAGTAGCTACGTGCCAATATTTGTGGGGATGGCACTTCCTCTAAGTAGATTCAGTAGGCTCCAGAGGACTATTCTAAACTAGTTGAATTTATTAGTACAATGTAAACATATAACATAAAATATAATATAAAAATCTAGACTGTAAAAGTCCTGGATAAGCCTGGATTATCATTGAGTAAAAACATATTTTCCGTGCGATTGGAGAGGGGCTGGTCAACTAAATATTTAAGTTAGGAATATATGTATGTATTCCTAAAACTATAGTGTTTCTCTAAATTTACACATAAGGAAAAGTAGATGTCAAGGGTATTTATTTTATGCCGATAAAGAATATATTCTGATGTGACACACCAGATATTTTATGCAATGTATCATATTTTTTTTTTTCACTTGACTTTTGGTCATGAACATGCCTTACTTACTGATCCGCACACACATTCTCTCACACACTCACAAATTATTTGTTTGATTTTAATTTACATCCACCAAGCCTCCCTACTCATTCCCTGGGGGGCCAGTGGAGCTGCTGCAATCCTGTGATCTTCAGGCTCTGCTCTCAGCTCGCTGTTTAGTGATGCCGCGGCCTGCGTGGCGCCATATTCCTGCTCCCGGCATTACAGCAGGGCGTGCTAGAGAGCAAAGCAAGAAGTTTACAACTCGTGCACCGCCTTCATACTGCACAGCCGTCCGCCTCTGGGGGACCCCTAATCCATACAGCTGGCCAGCTTTTTGGCCCTCCATGACGGGAGGAACACAGAGGGCCTAGAAGATGCAGTTGCGATCTCAGCGATCCCTGAAGTCACGCCACTGCACTGGCAAGCATCGGTGCAGTGTTCAATGGGCTGATAAGCACCCAGATGCCAGGACAAACTTGCTAGTCACCATGGCGATCTGGCGCCTGTCGTGTCTAATCCTGCCAGAGAATATGCAAAAATATATAAATACAACAAGTGTATAAAGTTTACAATTGAATGTAAAGCACTGATAAACGTACCATTAAGTACAAAAATCTATATATTTGACAATGAGATGGCATAAAATGCTTATCCAAATAATCCAAAATACAAAGATTGGTTTTAAAATAAACCATTTTAGGTTATATATTGGATAAATTGTAGCACTTTTTGTCTTAAAACCAATAGCACATTGTATTTTGCTAAGCATTTTATTTGATTATTTTGATATGCACTTTATGCAGTCACATTGACAAAAAATCGTTTTGTTTTTTTTGTGCTTTATAATATTTGCCAATGCAATTGTAAACATTACACACTATTAATGTATTTATTTTTGCATATTCTTTGGCTTGAGTCATTTAGCAGTCCTCCAAAATCTAAGTATTTGATTTTCTGTGACTTGTTCACTGTGGTGTAAACATTTAATGAGGTGGTTGTTGTTATTATTGCTATTTAAATAACAGATTCCATAGCGCTTTACAATATTATGAGAGGGGGGGATTTAACTATAAATGGGACAATAACAAGAAAGCTTACAGGAACGAATGGTGTCTATGTTCTATCAAACCTGTCTTATCTGCACTCATGACGCTTTAACCCCTGTATCACAACTCAACTTTGAATTCTATGTGTCTTGCTCAGAAATGCTTCAGACGTGAGAAAGGGAGGTTCTCCCAAAAGCTTGTCACTAAAAAATTATGTTCAATAAAAAAAAAAAAAAGGTATTACATGATACACATTTTATATATATATTTATATATATATATATATATATATATATATATATATATATATATATATATATATATATATATTTTTTTTTTTTACATCTACATCACTGGACTAATACGGCAAAGAGGTGCATATCACATATTATCCTACTTCAAACAAATGGTGTCCGGTAAAAGTACTGGATATATATCTACAATCATTACCGCCTCAGTCTGACATCCTTCTTCTAGTCCTACACAAAACCGTCTTAACTACAGCAAAATTCATGCAATACGTACGTATATTACTGACCAGACTAGGTCTGAACACCAGCAATTTTTCTGGCCATTCCTTTCGGATAGGGGCAGCTTTCACAGCCTCTAGTCGTGATATTCCCAGACATGTAATTAAGTCTTTGGACCGCTGGAAGTCATCAGCATTTGCTTTGTATATACCTCAACCTGTGTTAGAAATGAGGTCTGACTTTTTGTTAAATTGTCATCTTGAGGTATTTTCTTAGTACTATGTTTCATCTGCAATAAATACTTATTTGGCACACTTCAACCGACTTGTTCATATCTATAATGTACACCATACTATACTTACGTTACAAGAATAGCACCGAACACAAATGTAAAGGCTTGCCTGGAGTTGTGGGAGGGGCTTGTTGATTCTTCTTAAGCAGGCCCCGCCCACCACTCACTCTACTCAATTTCATTTATTTTATAATTGGGGTGGACCCTTTTATTACAGGCCTGCTGCATACGTCTGTTTCAGTACACTTCAACCGACTTGTTCATATCTATAATGTACACCATACAATACATACATTACGTTAGACGAACACATATATAGTGTTCGCGTGTGTGTGTGTGTGTGTGTAATATAAATAAAAACATTTTGGGCTGCTAGTGGTGAGCCAGTTTAGTTTTGCACTTGACTAGCAGTGGCAGTGTTACGTAATGAATTGTCTAGCCTTAACCATAGTAGGTTAGGTCTATAATAGGGATCGACCGATTATCGGTTTTACCGATTTATAATTGGCCGATATTCGGTATTTTCGGCAATATCGATATCGGCCAATATAGATACAGATATTGACGATAATACCTCCCAGGACCGCCAGGCTTGTGCAAATCTTGCGAGACCCGTGGCCGTCAGAGCGTTGCCACGGGTTACCATGGCAACACTCCGCGCAGGCCGCGAGATTTATGCTGGAGGAGCTGCTGGGAGGTAAGTAACAGCTTGCTGCCGGCCCCCCTACTGCTCAGCCAATGCTACTGGACCGCCAGGGACTGTCATAGCCCCCCTCCCTGGCCAGGCAACAAGCAGGGAGGGGGGACAAAAAAATTAAAATAAAACATAAACATTAAAAATTAAAATAAAAAATGCCTTACCCCCCCCACCCCATTTTACAGTGTAGTGTGTGTGTGTGTGTGTGTGTATATATATAGTGTGTGTGTAGATAATGCACACACTACATTATATACACACTACACAAACACACTGCATTCACTACACACACTGCACTCACTTTACGCACACTGCATTCACTTTACACACCACACACTATATTCACTATACACACACTACACAAACACACACTCTGCCTTCATTATATATACACTACACAGTCACTGCATTAACTATACACACTACACAAACACACCGCTCCACTGTCCAAATACACTGCATCCACTTGATGCATTTACCTTTAGAAATAGTTTATTTTTTCAAAATGGTAAATGCACAGAATATCGGCTATCGGCCTGAAAGTTAACAGAGTATCGGTATTGGCTCTAAAAAAAAAATCAATATCGGTCCATCCCTAGTCTATATTAGTCCTTTCTAAATATTTATTACATTTTACTTGATGGTACATTTACAATTTCATGGTTTCATTAAGAGCTGCCTATACTATGTTGTGCTAGTGTATCTTTGTGCAAACATGTTTAGTTTTTTTTTTAATCTAAGATCTAACAAACTGTTTCTGTATCACAGGACCTGAGTGTAGCGTTGTATAACCACCTCCTTCAGCCATCGGAGCCAACAGATGTTCCTGTGGACGTGCACTTCCTGGGCTGTGATATTGATGCTAATCTAATTGCAAAAGCTCAAGCTTCCAACCCCTTCCCAAAATCCATTTCTTATGTTACTCGAGATATCATGGATTCCTCTGAGCCGGAGGATCCCATACAGCATTTCCTTAATGGATTCAACCGTTCCACCTTTGATCTAGGATTTTGCATGTCAATAACTATGTGGATCCATTTAAATCATGGTGACCAGGGCCTGATAGACTTTCTGGGCCAGCTAACAAACCTTTGTGACTATTTATTAATTGAACCTCAACCATGGAAATGCTACCGTAAAGCTGCTCGGCGTTTACGCAAACTTGGGAGGCAGGACTTTGACCATTTTCGCTCACTCTCAATCCATGGGGACATGGCAAAAAGAATAACTGGTATACTTACTAAAGGGGGCAGAGCTGATCTTATTCAACGTTTTGGTAAAACTAGCTGGGACAGGAGCCTTCTTCTGTATAGAATTAACAGACCCACAAAATGATTTCTTATAGCTTTCCTGCTGCTTTTCTCAAGTCTCTGTTAGAGCTGATAACAATCAAGAGCTTTTAAATAAGTTTGATGGCACATGTGCAGTGTTAGAATATATCAATGTGTACAATAGATTGGTTATAGGATTGCATGGTGAGAGGAAAACCAAGCAATCCTACTCGATGTACAATTGGAAATCTTCGTATGTATAGTTTAAAAGTGTACCGCGAGTGAACTCTGTGTTAAATGTGTAACTTAATGGTAAATTATTTTGTGTGTTGATAATAAACACAATTTTTTTTTTTTTTTTTTTTTAAAGAATTGGTTCTCTGTGTACTACTTTGACAAAAAAAAATGTATTTCAGATGTCACATTAATTTAAGGGACACTACATTATCTTAAAGGGACACTCCAAGCACCATAACAGTTATAGCGCACTATAGTGGTTATGGTGCCCGGAGTTTGTTAACGGTTTAACTTCTTACCTGCCAGGCAATGCTACCTGACACTCTGCACCCAGATTTTTTTTTTTTTTCAGTAATTCGAGACACCTCTCAAATATTAGTCAGGCCTGAAATATTCAAAGCAGCTAGGGTGAACTCTGCTGATAGAATACTTCACAACAACCCCAAAGTGTTCAACGTTGATATGTCAGGGTCTTGCACATTCAAGGTGAATAAGTAGTCTGTTTCATTACCCCTCTATTCCTATAGCTGGTAACAAATTAGTCAATGTTCTTTATCTAAGGTCAGTTTACAAAATGTAACATTTTAGTTAATGACAAATATGTTGTGCAATTAATTATTTTGGGAAATAACATCTTAGAAGTAAGGCAAGAATCTTCATCTTCTGATGTTTACCAATACTATATCTTTTTCTGTCTATTTGTGTTTGGGGAATGCACAAGTGGGATTTTAGGGACCATGGCAATACTTTTAATCATTTGCCATATATTAATAGTGAGTGTTTTTACAATGTTATACCTGAAGAAAATTAAGAACTTGTGATATAAGCCATGCTTGTCACAGGTGCCTCATCACACGCTTGTTTTAAACATTGCCCTTCATGGACCCCTCAAGAACATGTTCCATGTGAGTGAATCTCGCAAGAGCAGTCATTAGGTTTGTATAACCTGACAAAATGGGGGTACTTTGACCTGGAAGGCTTTTGCAGTGTATGAAATATGTAACTAAACCCCCATTATTTGCCCTAGCCAAACTCAGGTGATTTAATAGCATTATGATCTAACTTGTGTATTCACGTAAGATAGCACTGATTAGGATTGTAATGACTGAACTTTCCCACATATTCGTTGGTATTTTAGATGAATTCATTAAAAGTTACATTTTATTATTTATCCAGGGGTTTGTCTCCTCACTCCAGAGGGCAGACTTGTGAGGGCTATACTGTCTTTACCTCCGTGTCTCCCCTTGGTTCTCTAGTCCGTTTTTTGGTGTTTTTTTTTATCCATCCTTATCTACAGGGGTTACCCCCACCCCACCCCACACCTCCATGAGCAACCCGACACATCTTCCCTGCTTTAATATAATTCCAATTGGTTGTTAACACATACTCATTTAAAATTCCCATTAATTCAAGCAGCTGCAGAAAACCCCTCCTAATCTAGGTAGTGGTTATGCCAATTAGGACCTTCTGAGTTTGCTTTATTGTGTCTGATATCCAGTGTCCACAAATCTATGGGATGTTTTAGTTAAGCTTTAGCCCTAGATGTTATAAGGAGAACAGCTGGCTAAGCTGAGAGCAGCCCAATTAGTGACCGTTTAGACTGTGTCTCTGTTAGGGGTTAATATCTGATTAATGAGCTGATAGTTTTTATATTTAGTCCTCTCCACTGATTTCTAGTGGCTTTAATTTTGTGTATCGTATTCTGTTTAAGGCATGACAGGTCCATTCTGGAAGTACTGCATACTTGAAAAGGACAGTGCAATCACTAGCTAATTGTTGGCTATTAATTGTGCTTTAAATAAAAGCTTAAAGGAACTTTAGTGAATACAAATACAAAAAGAAAAGTCCTGCGCTCACTCCCATCACTCCTGGGCGGCAGCAACGACCACAGTACACATCAGCTCCGATACATATAGTAAAAACCAAAGGAAAAAAGTTACCTGTGCTTTCTCCTTAATTCTTATGTATATTTAAACAAATGGAGCTATGTATTACTAACCCTAAAGGGTCCCTCTGGCCTCACCTTTTGAAAGTAAAAGGTTAAATTACTTTTTTCATTTTCAATAACCTGATTCCAGCGCCAATTTACCTCTGAACTGGGGCAGGCTCTGCCAACTTCGGCAAAACACACATATTAGGTGTTCCTAATAGAAAAATTTACTTAATGCTTTCTTATGGGGTTTCAGAAGATGTTGAATGCAAAGCGTAGATGATGTCTAGCGTAGTTTTAAAGGGTCAAACTCCGTGAAAGGTCAGGAAGCATCTCTACTGGCTTTCTGGGAGACAGCCACAAGAGGCTGTCTTAACCTTGCAATGTAAACATTGCAGTTTCGCTGAAACGGCAATAGTTGCAGCTGCAAGGTTAAGGGGACCGGGACCGGAACCCTGCACCCAGACCACTTCAATCAAATGAATTGGTCTGGGTGCCTGTAGTGCCCCTTTAATAAGACTGCAACTATGTCCTGTGATTCTCTAAATGTTGGGAGTGATGGAATCATGTTGCCAATCGTAACATCACAAAAAAAAAACAACAAGGGGCCCCGGAGCAGAAATTGCAATGGGGCCCCCAGCCTCTCCATGTGTTTTATTTATGCCTACAGGGGGTGTGTGGCATGGTTGGGGAGGGGGATGAGGGGGGAGTATGACAGTATTTGAGGGGCTCATGTGATAGGGTTAAAGGGGATGAGTGTGACAGAGTGATGGAGAATAAGTGTCACAGGGCTAGAGGAGGTGAGTGTGATAGGGTGAATATGGCAGAGTGATGGGAGGGAAGTATGGCATGGGTGAGTGACAGGATTGGCATAGTTATTGTGTGTGTGTGTGGCAAGGTGAAAGGGGGTGACAGTGTGTGTGGTGGGATGACCGTTGCACAGACACCCATACTGGCTTAGGCTGATGGGAGTGAGAGTTCCCACTGTGACTCCCTTCCTCCCCCTGCACAGCTCTCGGTGGTGGCTCGGAGAAAGTGACTGGGGCATCTCAGGGGGCCCGCACCACTGGCCCAGGCCCATGCGTCCACAGAGTGGCCCGGTCCTCTGTAGCCTCCAGCTCTCTGCACAGCAAAACCTCTATGGTGTTTTTTAGGTTGAGGCAAAGCAGTGCAATTACAGGTGGGGTTTTTTTCTGCTTCTTAAAAGGCCTATGGGTGAGATAGCAGATAGTGTTGCTTAATAGTCCTAAATCATGTATCTTTGTTTATATGTAAAAGCACAATGCCATGGGACACAGAATGGCAGTAAATTAAAATAAATTAGGCAAAAAGTGCTTATTTGAAAAAAACAACAAAAAAAAACAGTTAATGTCAGCTGGGCTCTTTTATCATAAATGTGCAATTTGTTTTCCAGTTTACTACAATTTAATGATTAGTGAATAAACCATACATCTGTTAATTATAGATCCCTTTCTATGTCTGTTTTTCCTGGATGTTATTTAGTAAAAGGGAAACTGTAGTGATAAGAATACATTTTATTTCTAGCACTATAGTACTAAACCCCCACCCCACGGTGCTGAAAGGGTTAAAAACCCTTCTGTAATTTAAATGATTCCAGCACCAATGTCCCTTTGTGCTGGGTCAGGCTCTGCGGACATCATGTGGGGGGGAAGGGGGCTTATTGTGCATGAGCGACTAGTGCCACGATCGCATTAGGACGTCCCCTTAGGAAAGCAGTGAATCAATGCTTTCCTCTGGGGTTTTAGCTGACGCTGGATGTCCTCATGCAGGGACCTGAAAGCAGGTCTAAAGGTGGACTTAACCCTACAAGGTAATTATTGCAGTTTCTCAGGGTAAAGAGGACATGGACACTGCACCCAGACTATTTCAATGAGATCAGGCGTCAGCCCGCGAGGGATACCTAATGCACATGCGTGGCAATGGCTGCGCTTGCAATACAGCCCCATAGTAAAACATTATGCAATGCTTTTCTATGGGGTTTCGGGTGACACTGGATGTCCTCATGCATAATGACCAGAAAGTCCCTCTAGTGGCTGTCTGGTTAAAAGCCGCTAGTGGTGGTGTTAACCCATAAAGATAATTATTGCAGTTTATTTAAAAACTGCAATAATTACCTTTGCAGGGTTAAGGGATTTGAGACTATGCACCCAGACCACTTCAATGAGCTGAAGCTGTCTGGGTGCCTATAGTGTCCCTTTAAACCAGGGCTCTCAATCCCTCTCCTACTGTACAGATTGAAATCCATTCTTGCACAGAATTTGTGGGTGCTATATAATCAAGTGATGATGATAACAGTACCATTAGCAAACAGCTCATCTTGAATGAATATCTTATGTCATGACACTTAAAGCATTATGCCTCCCTTTTTTATTCACTAGATGGCAGTAGTGCTTCACATCAGGACATTGAATTCAAGTTGAGAATAACACATTTTGCAAAAAAGGGTGAGTCCTAACGCTTAGCTATGGGATTAAACGAAATGCTGTTTCTCCAGTTTAGTTGTATACAACGCCTTTTAAACAACCCTGTAAATGAAAATGCATCACCCTGTCTAACTTAACAGCCATTGACCTATGTAGTCAGAATTGTTCATCTTCAGTTGTAGATGTTCAAGCAATTGTTACCACAATGACTGGGTCTGCATTTTGATTTGCAATAAACGTAATTAAGCCTTTTAGATAATACCAGTTGCCTTATTCAGCTGTGGATGGAACCTGTTTTAATCATGTACTAAAATGTATTTGCCCTGACTATGCTAACATGCAAACTGTGTGCTTTAAAATAGTAGTCTTAAGCATTTTGTGCCTCACACCTGCCCAGGTTTCTGAATATCCTTGCATAAACACAGGTAAGGTAATCAGGTATTTAGTAGGTGG